CATATGACTAATACATGAAGAATTCATAAAGCTTGCCAGATTCTTTTTGGATGCTTAAACCCTGTTGCTGATTTGCTCTTTTGAAGTCTTCTTGCTTGGCAGTTTGTCTCATTAACAGGCCTGTTTCAACAAGGCCCGCTGATGTGGGAGCGTATTGCATAGGAAAAGAGAGGGGAGGAGGGCACACACTGGAGAATAGAGATCTATTGGCTTGGAAATCAATGGTTATCATGTCAGCCAGATGCTTGCTCATCTCACTCGCAGAGTCAGAACTATTGGAAAGGACTCATAGTGTTTGATTATTGCTTAGGCCATTTTTATCCCTGAAAAGCTCTCTGCACCTAAAATGTGTGTGTGCATGCACTCCATATTGTGTTGATTTTACAGACAAAAAAAAGGAGATTTTCATTGATTTTTTTCTTTGTTTTTAGGAGTTACAGTACATAGACAACATGAGATAGCACATAGATCAGACACTATGGAACTGTAGATGTACTGATGTATTTTACTTTGTAGTAATACACACTGGTGCTGTTAGTGTAACTGATCTTTAAAAAAAAGACTACAGAACAGAAGCACTGCTTCATTTCTGCGCTGATGCCTTTTTGTGATTACAATTCCCTATCCACAGTATGATTTTTTTAAAAAGGCAAGTCTACCTGCTTTGCCGCTGTTCTTCATCAAAAAGCAGCAGTTTAATGAGTCCTGAAGCTATTCTTAATATTTAATTTCATCTTTGAGTTGTTGGGGGGGGGGTTAGATCTAGGTGGAATAAGTGTCCTCTGGATGTCATCACCTGGAGAACAAATTCCTTTCATTATCTCTCAATAACTTCCAAAACCCCCAAATGAGGAGCTGTTTACATTTTTTGAATATTGAAAACACGTTTAGCTTGTTTTTTTTGTGAGACCTTTCAAGCTTTTTCAACTCTTTCGATGTGATCAGAGGGAAAAAAAAAAAGTCTTTCACAGCTGCCAGTTGCAGTACCTGTGAAGCAGGTTTTTGTTTGGATCCCAATAGCAAGCGTCTCATTTTTCAGCAATTTCATCATTCATGTGCTCCAACACCTCTGTGTGGGTAGCGTTGGTCTAATGTTTTGTTGATCCTCTTCTTAGAGAATAAATTAACTTACTCAAATAAAGAGATGGCGGTAGAATTAGAGAATTGGAATGAGTGCATGTTTGATCACACAGAACAAATTTTCAGTTTTTAATTTGCTGCATTTGGGGCATTTTGTTTGTTTTAATTTAATGCCTTCTAATTACAAGCAGACCAGATCTTGTAAACACAACGGTGGCAGCACATGCCTCATTTTGGTAGCTCATTGTGGAAGAAGCGAGATTTAGCTTCTATAAAGCTAAAACCTTGATTTAAACATACACATCAGCCTGTATCCAGGTGTGCTGGATGTTATCTGGATGTTAACACATGACGGACATGATATCACAGAGTATTTCCTTACCTCGATTGTGCTCACGCTGTAATCGGATGAAATTATGCAAATGCAGTAGGTGCAGTTGGTGGGCTAATTGACAAATATAGCACGTCCTCATCGTGTTGTCTGGACTTCAGTCGTTTTTACTATTTTCCTCCCGTACCTTTTAGATGGTCCTCGTTTAGAAAAGAAGGGAGAAAAAAGAGAAGGAGGAGGAGTTTGGTGACCTTTCAACATGCAAAGCAGACTTTTCATCAAGAGAAGACAGAGAAGTGGAGATAGCATTGATCTTTTCCTTCAGATGTGATGGGATTGATCCAGTATCCTTCCAGCCTGTGCTTTTGCTTACCCACAATGCATTTCTTCATGCATGGTGCATGAAGTATCTTTATAATTTGATAATAGATAGGAGAGAAGTTACATTATAGTTGCCTAAAACTAAACCAAAATTTAAAAAAAAAAAAAATGGACTTAAAAAAAAGCAAATTAACTGAAATAATTTTGTGAGTTGGAAAACGAATTAAACTAAAATAAAAACATAGAGGTAGTATAGTTTATGACACCTTGACTGATGACACATTGATAAACATGTTTATTGAGACTGAATGGAAACAAACCTGTGAGTCAACAGCTTTCAAAAGGCTGTGGATGTTTCTGTGTTTATTTTTTGTATTACCTCTGATTTTACCTACTGTTTTTTCTCAGTCCTGCCTCTGACATATGCCCTCCATATAATAACTCTGAAAAACACTGAATTGAAATAAGAAAATTTACTTTGGAAACTAAACTAAATTCAAAACATAAAGTCAAAATGAAATAAAAATAAAAAGAAGTAGAAAACACAAACCCATAAATACTCTGGTTATACAACAAAAGGCCACAAAGATACTTTAGCTGGTTCATGGACCTGAATTCAAAGCTTAAACCACAGACATCAACAACAGTACTGCAACTCACTGGTTCACTTATTCTAACTCAGTGGATTTCAGGTAGTGCACTTAATTGATTTTCACCTATAGTCGTCAACTGCCCAGCAGAAGCAAAATAGAGGAGTGAATGTTCCAGAGCTCCAATAAGCTGCTCCAGACATGATTAATCACTTCCTGTGACTGGTCAGGACCACAGTACAGTGGTAGTCAAAGTACAGCATAAATACAGGCTTGTGAAACAGATTGAGATGCCTGATAAACACGCTTGCACCATGAAGCTGTCATTCCCTTGTCATTGCAAGTGAGAACGAAGAAAAGCCTGCTCTTCCTCCGCTTTCCTTTCACTGAATGACAAGATGACAGCCCTCAGGTGATTGCATGACAGGGGCACGCTACATGTTCCCGACAGTGCTCACCATATACTCTTGATAAAGTCATCAAGGCCTCTGCTGTTTACCAGCATGCCAATGCAGCTGCTTGTGGAAGATTAGCAAAGCGTGCCACGTGGACACTCGTGGACACTGACTGATGCATGTCAGTTAGTTAGACAGATATAACCGCATATTTTAGCAAAGGAGAGTACATGCAGTGGCAAAACATGCAAAAACAAAGAGGAATTTAAAGGGAACTTCTAGTAGTTTGATATGGTTTGTGCAAAAATATATGACTGAGAGTAATAGAATCTTTGAAGTCCTGTGAAAAACTAAGTACACCTTTACTGCCTCCATTGAAATTATGAGGATAGGTAGGAGTTAATTAATTGATCATCAGCACGTGTGAGCACCTCTATAAAAGCAGAACGTTTGCACAGGGCGCACACGTGTAGTTTATAGGTGTGTGCTAACACAGTGCTGAGGAGGAAAGACATCAGTATTAATCTTAGAGAAGGAATTATTGCTGCCTGTCAGTCAGGGAAGAATTATGAGTGCATCGTTCTGCAGTGACAAAGACAATTACAATTCCTCCCCACACACTCACGTTGTTGTTAAAGTTCATGGCAGTAGCATTAGAAAAAGACTGAATAAGTGTGGTTTGCCTGGAACGCTACAAAGAACATGAAGCATGGGTCAGGTTTGCTTTATCTGAACAAACCACAAGACTTCTGGAGCAATGTCCTTTGGACAGACGGAACCAAAGTGGAGATGTTTGGCCATAAGTGCCACTTAGGTTTAAAACCAAACACGTCATAGCTGCTGTCAAGCACAGTGGTGGATGATTAATGCTTATTTAGTAGCCACAGCACCTGGGCACCCTGGGCATGAACTCCTCTGTATACCAACATATTCTAGAGTCAAATGTGAAGCTAAATTTTGGTTCAAATTAGGTCACACAGCAGTGCAATGATGCTAAGCAGAGCAGCAAATCTACAATAAAATGGTTGAAACTGAAAGTCCAGACTTTAACCTAAGTGAAATGCTGTGGTGGGACCTAAAGAAGTAAATAAAAGACCACCTACAAATCTAAATGACCTGAATAATAAATTTTGTATGAATAAATGCTCTAAAGAGGATTGGACCAAAATTTCTCCACAATGATGTAAGAGACTGATAAAGTCATGCAGATGAGGGTTATATACAGTGAATAAAATGAGGTACGGTACCATCGTGACTGTTTGAAACATTGTTATCGGTAAAATGAAATCATGTTGGACACATCTGTTCATTCTTGATTCTGATGTCCAAGCTTTTCTGTTGTATGGGCACTGAAGCAAATAAATGTTCACTCCAAAGTCAAATGCATCAATCTTCAGGCCTCTGGTTCTATTTATCCATCTGTTTTGTATATATGAGTCCCAGTTTCTCCTTTCTCTTGAATTTAGTGGTGTCAGGTGGCCCAAAAAATACATCTGAAAACTCTTATTAGAAATCAAGATCCAGGTGCTTTAAAAAATACATAAACCATAGGAGATGAACAAAAAATATGTAAATATGATTTGTGAAGACATTTTAAAGATTTGTCAAAGGGCGTATTTCACTTTGATTGCAAGAAAAGTGAAAGAAGCACTGCGTAAATAAATACGAGTCATTTGTAGCCCTAAAAAAAGAGTTTGCATTTGCATGTCCATCAAACCACAGACCTATAAAATTAGGGCAGCAAAGCACTTCGGCTTTTGATTCTGCAGAAATTGGCCTGACAAGAGGAACAATTGTCAGAGCTCGAGCGCTTGACAGGAATAGTTTATTCACAAAAGGAAAGCGTTCGTTTTCACAGCTATTTTTTTCATGTTGAAACACATTTTCTGTCTTGCCATTGTTTATATAGATTTAACGGAGCATTTCTGAGGCGCACAATAGAATAATGGCCTCACGTCAGTGTATTCGGTTCCTTTGTGTTTTTTTTTTTTTTTACCAAAGCTGGGTCAAAATGTTATTTGAAATCCCCACAGGATTACCAGCAGAAGTAGCGTTTTTCCAGCACTTGCATGCAGGCCACTCACAAGGCCAATTCAATCCTCATGAAAGTCTTTTATTTGCTTCTTGTGAAAATCCTGCACCATGTAGCATTATGAATACTGAATGTTTTGCTAGATGATAGTCCAATTTTAGCTTCCAGTCCGGATTGATTTGATTAACTCTCAGGATCTAATACCGCCATGTGTTATTTCCTGTTCTTTTTGTGTGTGTGTGTGTCTGCAGTCCCTCCGGTGTTGTCAGTGTTCCAGCAGTCCTTCAATGCCACAGCTGACTACCAGGAATCTGTCACCTTTACTTGCATCACTTCTGGATCTCCGGACCCCATAGTCACATGGCACAGGTAAAGCTCAAAGAGATATTGGGATTGGGAGACATCCAAAGAATATTGGTGTTCCCTCAAGGATGTAGGTTTATACCCAAGTAGACACCCGAAAGTGCTACCCTAATATGATTTCATTCCAAAACCATGAGAATTAATCTGCTGATAGCAGCGCCTACACTTATGGGAATGCTTCCCACAAGATTCTTGGAGCCTGCTTTCAAGGATTTGCTCCCATTCAGCTCCAACAGCATTTGTGAGGCTCAGTGTTGATTTTGGACGATAAAGCCTGGCTTGCATTGGCGCCCCAATTTATCCCATAAAGTATGAGCTGAGCTCTACACGAGCCCACTCTTCCACTCCAGACTGGGAGAAAATGGCTGTATCCATCTAAGAGAGGAAATGATGTTGAACCAAATGATTAAGGCCATCATACACAAAAGGTTCAACTCCTTAAATAGCCATATATTCAGTTAGAAAACATAAGGGACAAAAACAGCACTGCTTGATTGATTACTGGATTGAAGTCACTTAATTAAGGCAAATTTAACCTTAATTTTCAAATAATACAGGCTATTATGTTCCATACTACCCATTCGTGCCTATGTACAAATATGCATGTATTGTTTTCAGAGCAACTAGACTTTCTTTCATAGTTCTGAGGTATTTATAGTCCACCCTCGCACATTGCCCTCAGCAGCCACACAGTAATATCCATGGCACATAGCAACAGAGCGAAAATTTGCACCTGAAGAGCATTTGACACTCCGCTATCCTCTCTACAGCTCGACATCGAGCAATTAGCTTGCACCCACTCGGCAGGCAATCATAACAAGCTCTTTGCACCTGAGCATCTATTGATAACACTTTATTGTTGTTCCATTGAAGTTTTTAGTGTTTGCTTAAAATGCTGTCCCCCCCCCCAGTTTTCCTTATTGGAACTTACTGGAAAGAGTAGTTTGAACATATTTGACACAATTTAGTTTAATGAACTGTGTCCAGCTTTCAAAAAGGGGCCCTGTTATGTTTTTCATTTGTGGATGCTTATATCAAACACGTTTCAAGTAATGAGGTCCGTGTATGTAACAGTAAAAGCCCTTTTTTGCCTGTTTTTGTCTCTGTGTGATGTCATTGAGAATGAATATCCCTGCCTGGTCTGTGGTCAGCTCAGGCTTATAGATCTGACTGTATACCCTACCCACCTGCTGTTTAAACCATCTCTATATTTAAGGGGGCTTAAAGGCCCAGTTTGAGATAAATGAGGGTTATTTTGAACTCTGAAATCACGCAAAGCTACTTTAATAGAATCCTAGAATAAACATAATAAAATGAAAATAAGCCTGTAGTGTCTTCTCTTGAGACATGATGTCTTTATAAATGTTATAAACAATCCAAACAAACATGACTTACAAGTGACCTCATGGCTCCTCATAATTGCTATATTTTGTAGTTAATTTGGTAAAATAAATACTGTGGGCTTGGTAACGTTTCTAAAGGGCAAAAAGAGGGCAACAATTCAACAACATATTAGTTTAGTCTTAAATGAAGATATTTTGCTTTCCCACTAGAGTTTGAGCTCTAGTCTTGTACAATACTGTGTAAAAGTGTTGGGTCAGCACTTGCTAGAAAAATGGAAATGAAATAGCTGCAACAATTTATTGAAATTCATGCAAACATACATGGAAATAAAGTATAAATCAGAGTTTGTGCAATTCTTGAAACTCCACATTTGGTGTGACCACCTCTATTCTTCAGCACAGTCTGAACTCTTTTAGGCAGGTTTCTTGTCATTTCCTTAAGTAGTCTTCAGGAATAATTCTACCGGCTTCTTGAATGACATTCAAAGCTCTCCTTTGGATGTTTCTGGCTCTGGGGAGGCCAATCCATGACTGATAGTGCTTCATTGTGTGTTTTTCTATCCAGGTATGCTTTACTGCATTGGCAGTGTGTTTGGGATCATTGTCATCCTGAAAAATGAAGCCAATGGCAATCAGATGTTTTCTAGATGGTATTGCATGGTGAATCAATCAATGGTCCTTTTCTGTGTTCATAATTTTATGGATTTTGACAAGATCTCCAACACAAATAACTGAAATGCAACTAAAACCAAGACAGAGCCTCCACTGTGTATTACAGATGGTTATAGACACTCACTGTTGTACCTCTCTCCTGACCTTCTACATACACATTGATGATGATTTGAACCAAAAATTTCAAAAAAAATTTGGATTCATCGCCCCACATTTTCAGTCCAGTTCTTGTGTACATATCTCAGCCTTTTATCCTTGTTTTCTCTCCTTAAGAATGACTTGACAGCCGCCCTTCCACTGAGATGATTTCTGATGTGGCCTCAGTGAACAGTAGATGGATCAACTGAAGGGCCAGATACATCTCTCAGATCCTGCGTCAGGTGTTTGCTGGAATTCTTTCTGTTTCTTAAGGAAACTGTTCATCTGCTGTATGTAGTTTTTTTCGCCTTTTTGAAGGTAGTAACGTCCAGCAGAACCAGGCTCAGGAAGGGGCAGCCAGTCATGGATTACTCATTTACAGCTGGTTGCTGTGTTTGTGGCATTCAAAGAATATATGCCAATATCAGCTGATATTAGCTCTCTGTTAATATATCAGCTGAGCATTATTTGAACTGTAGCAAAGTGCATTAATTAATGCTTTCATAGTCCATAATTATGATGTGGGCCTATGATCTGTTATTATTATTATTGTACTTTTAAGTAACTTGGTCAGTGCTGCGCAGCAGATAAAAGCACATAAACCGATGCTGAGCATGTGCATCAATGGTAAACACAGATGCCTTTATTCATCACCCTAACAAAGAGGTCACATACCTCTGAGAGCGCTTACCTTCATCACAGGAGCGCTGCACAATTCTGCAGGAAGATGAAGCACAGCGAGGTGAATTCTTCACTCCTGCATTTCATGTGACATTGTCTCTGTAATACAGATGTAATGAGAACTGAACTGTCTGTTTGAAAGAGAGGTTGAATACAGCAGAAAAAAATGAGGCACATGCATCACTTTGTGAAGTACAAACAAAATTTGAAATGTGACGCACAGCTGGAAGCAGCCTCAACTTTGTAAACCTCATTCATCTTGCTCCCTTGTTTCTGGGCTCCAAAAAAGCAGAAATTACTTTTACTCCGGGGTGTCTTACCTTGGCTTTTCAGCTCTGGAGCACAACAGTGAAATGTAATTTTAATGATTTAACAGCAGGCGTTATATTTTGCAGAATATTTCAGCGTGAAGATGGCAAAGTGCACATCTCCATCCTTACTTTTATATTGAGACAATCCCTTTGACAGCTTAACGACCTCAGTCTCAGTTTTGCTTTAAGTGTAAAACTGAGTTTTGTTTGACGTTGTGATTTCACAAAAAGCCCGTTAAAATGAGGAGCCTGGGAAATAAGATATCTTGATAGGTTTCTCATAGTATCACAGAATGAAAGAGGCTTAGATACAGAAGCATTCACTCTTACAAGGTGCTCACTGATGTGCTGAGGCAATTAAAAATGACCACAGAAGTAAGCGACTAAACCTTTTTCTTAATAAAATTCTCTTGCATGGTCAGATGTGTAACTTCCATTCACAAAATTTGATGTTCGCAAGATCAAGAAAAGTTTAAACCAAGTCTCAGAGAAACTCAGCGGAGCACCGAGAGCTAATGAGACTTTATTCTTTGTTCTTCTACAGCAGGGAAGTCAAACTCGTTTCACACTGTGGGCCATGCACAGCCCACTTTGATCTTAAGTGGGACGGACCAGTGAAACTCCTATTTCTGTCAGCGTAAAGAAGTTTAATCACACATTTAATCCCTGAGATATTTTAATTTTAAAAAAGAAGTGTAATTTCAACAATATATCTCAGTTTTTCTACATGATAATGAAATGCTGCTTTGGGCTTAAATTGTAAGAAATGCACATGTAAAATTACAGAAAAAGTTCTGTTAGCTCATTGTGACTGTTAATTTAAAATAAATTCATAATGGTTTATCTAGTTATTTACGTTGGTGCAGTATGACTGGAAGAAGCTGTAAAACTTGTGAAAACACATCTAAAAGTCTATACTTTTAGATGTGGATACATCTAATGTATGCTCTCCTTCACATTTTCCAAACCCTTCCAGTGGGTCAGATTGGAGGCTTTGGTAGGCCGATTCTGGCCCCCAGGCCTTATATTTGATACCCCTGTTCTGAAGTGTTGCGGTTTCATATCAGAAAGCAGCCTGTTCTCATTCCCAGTGCTCAGATTCTTCCAGGGTTTTTTTTTAATCTGCTGGTCTCTCAGAGATATGCCCAAGGTGTCTTTTGGCTTCTGCTGGAATACCAGGGGTCACCATAATGGTGACACCCAGCTCGTCACACTTGGATGCTTGTTCAGAACCCCTTGACATTACACTTACGCTACCTTGGGTATCCTTGAGCCTAATTTTTCATCTTGCAAGGTGATTCTTGTTAGGAGCATTAACAGATCGGGGTTATTACACCAAAAAGTAATGCATTACACATAACTCATTACTTTTTAAAGGTTAAAATGCTATGTTACTTAATTATACCTGTAGAAATGAATTAGAAACACCACTCATCACATTAATTTTGTGTTATTTCGGATAACCACCTGAGATGCATTGGCACACAATTGCCGTTTAACAATATGAACCTTGTTCCACACACCAGCATCATGGCCTATCCTAATGAGGACAAAAACACACAAGGTCTTTTTGTAAGTGTTTAAGAATTCACACAAAGCCGAGGGCAAAGTTAAAACGCAGCACTTCAAAAAAAAATGCTACGGCCACAGTGATTCTGTGATAGGAACAGGTGCCGTAACTGCTTTTGTTGCCTGTTGAAAATGAAGCTTTAGATGCTTGGCTGGGGTCAGCATATACTCTGACATCAGTCTGAGTTCTTCACTGCTCGCTTTGACAGCATGCTGTCGAAAGTACTGTGCAAAAAATGAAAGCTGGACACCACTCTGCTATTTTTCTTCCCCTAATACATCAGCTGAAGTCAGCTGATTGTAGCCCAAGTGCACAGAAAAAACATTACCCTTGATTTTGTTTTATCTGAGTGCTCATCGTGCAGATAATTGAAGAACTTGCGGTACCAGTTGAAGGTTTGAATGGGTGAGTGTGTCGGATTTTAACTGGTACCATATGCAATGCAAATAAAGGCATAAGTGATGGATTACTGACTAATATGATTACTTGATTTGTTTTTACAGTAATGCTTTGGATTACTGTAATGTGATTGGAGTAACATACCAGGTTGAGGCACTAAAACCTGCTCTGCACATGTATTTTCATTGCTCTGTGGTTTTTAGGCTTGCACATTGGCAGTATGTCATTCGCTCTCAAAGTGTGGGTCATACTGAGATTCTATTTTGACATATTTTGGGGTTTTGTGACACTTTTAGTCTCATGGAGTGTAGCTGTAGTAATGTGGTTTGGCCACTACCCTGCTACAAGTAGATAATGGCACAACCTTGTGCCAGAACTAGACACCTTAGTCTTTATCAGAGGCATGAAAATTGCAAGTTCAACATCACCATTTGAATTAGCATGTTAACTTTGTGCAAGTGCTTTTTAACCTATTATGACACAGTCATACTTGGAAAAAATATTAACAAGACATTGTGAAATGAACTTGTGATCTCATTGCCTTTGGAGTTATTGCTTTGAAGACCACTCGCAGTCAGTTGCTGTCTTCAAAGCAACTTTGGTGCATCAAGAGAGCACTAAGAATCAGTAGGAATCAGTCTGCAGCTAAACGGAGTCCAGTTGGCAATTACTTGCAATCGGCAATATGTAATATGGCAATTATTTGAGATAAACTGGCAAAAATCAAAACTAAAAAATGAGTAAACAAATATTAACATAGTTGCTGCAGGACAACAATTTGTCCTGACAACCTTGTTTTATATAGAAATAGAATAGATGGATAGGTTCAAGGTCAAGTTCCATACTGCAAAGAGATGTGTCACAGTACAAGGTCATCAGTGACCAGTCACAGTCAGTTATAGACTGATTCTGTAACATTTGGGGTTAGATACAGGCTTATGGTGACATTGGAGCAACATCCACCTCTTTCTATGAATTTTTTGCCACTTTTAGCACCATGAAATGAAAAAGTGCATAACAGAAAAACCATAAAACCATAACACATATCATATGTGCTTTAGCATGGGGCTAAAATACACCCAAACCCCAGTGGATGTCAGTAGCATAATGTACATAATGTGCTGCATGTTTTATTTTAGCATACCATCCTGCGAGGTTTACTTGAAAGGGTACTCTTGCATGCTCCCACTTCAATCTAATGCTCATGTACTATTTTTTTTAATGCTGACTGAATAAAATATAAATCACCTGTCAAGGTCTCATTTCAGCTGACTGCAGATTTTGAACTTTGTAGTGACCATGGACTGCCAAACATTTCTGTGTAGTCTGTTTCATTTCCCAGGTCAATAAGTCCTGTGTGTCAGTCCCAGACTACAGAATTAAAATGCGTAAATCACAACAAAGGCTTCGGTATAAACAACACATCACATTCCAATTTAGTTTTTCTTTTGATGCCACCCCTCCTAACTTATTCCAGGCTCTCCCGTTGCATTTCCTGTCAGAGCGAGGTTTCACCTCATCCTCTGTGCATCTTGGGTAATGGACTACCTGTCAGTAGTCAGTCAGTATAATGACATTCAGCATTGCAGCACGTCCTCCACTGTCCATTCCAAAGATGAGGCCTCTCTTCATTTCCTCTTTGGCTCACCAGAGTTATTATTACTTGGCTTTGGTGTTTCCTCTGACGACTTTCAATTATCCTCCCTCTCGCTTTTCCTACAGTACAATGAGGCTGAGCTCACCACACAGTATAACTGCACTCGTGTCTATTTGTGTCTGAGACTTCAAATCCCCTCATGTGAAATCCCTAAAAAAAATAAGAGTTTTTTAGTGGAACAGTAAAATATACACTGTGAAAAATACAACAGCCTGAACTGAAGACTTGAGATATCTGTTCTGAATTTATTACATAAAATAACTTGTAAAATAAAATAAAAAAAAAACAAGATGCTATTATCCATATTTAACAAAATGTTTTTTTAAATCTCTTTTCATACTTTTTCTTTATATTTGTGAGTTGGGCAGATTAATAATGAATCACTGAATATGCTGAAGCACGTTTGCAAACATCAGATCAGCTTTATCTGTTTTGTGTTCGTTTATGTAAAACCTTAATGATTTTAATTTCGAGAATCTCATCCATTTATGCTCTGCTTCACATTCACACTGATACATAAAACTATATGTAAGCCTTTCAGATCCCCTGGGCAGATTAAATATTTCACTGAGTGAGAATTGGGGAGAAAAACTAAGTGCAAACCCTGCAGTAAATGAGCCATTTTTCAATTGATAATGAACTGTCTGAAATCAAATTTTTATTTAATTAATACATAAATTGGGCAAGAAATGGTGACTGTGGCACTCTTGTTCAAGTTTGAACATGCTATCCTACATGAAAACTCTCAGAACATAAATGTCTTACTTTTTAGGATTCGTTCATAGAGCTTAAATTAAATATAAGCACTAGAAAAGCTCCAATAAAGCTTAGTTATAACAACAAAGTAGAGAAAAGCTGTGTAGAAGCAGTAGTTAAAGCAATAACTTTTTGTTTTATGACAGAAGAAGGTTCTTCACAAGTTATCAGAAGGAAGTGGTAACCAGGGCTTGGATCAAAGGCAGGCCTGTATTTCTTTTTAAGTTTTTTTTAATAAGTAGTATATTTCACTAAAAAACTTTCCATTTGCTTTGGTAAAGTTAATGCATGTACTGATAAAACTGCAGAGCGCAGTAAGTCACACATAATAAAGATCAGTTCTTACTTTTGCCAGAGAGCCACCCAGAAACTGCTGCACTCATGTTGTCACAGTGTACTTAAACTGACACAGGCATGAACAAACATTCATTTTGTCTGGCTTTGATTTGTTTGCATCAACCACTTCCTAAGTGTTTATTAGAGACACAGATTTTAACTGGCTGCAGTTCTTTTATTTGAGGAAATGCAATATGCAAAACAAAGTCTAGTTAAATCGGCACTGTACACACTGGTTTGTATATGTTAGTTTTAAAGAGTCCCTTCCAAATTTGTCCTTTTTGGCATATTTATTTATTAATATTCATAAATAGCACAACAGTATTATCAGTTTTCATAGTAAGAATGCTACCATGTTACCAAAGGTACGTATTTACAAATCCAGGACATGGAGAGCAATATCAGCAATCTTCCCATTTTCTGTCCCCCAGATCAATACTAAGTTTGTTTTGTTGCAATATCCATAAGCTCATAGGTAAAATTTTGGGCTGTATTGGGTATTCACATACTAAACACAAACTTCAGCTGTCTGTAGTTTGCTGATATGCAGTATAGAAAAGTAGATCTTAAAGGAAAATCCTGGTTACATGTCAGAGAATTAAATTTGTGTAAATTCTCTTGTGTAAACAGGTATTTCCCGTGTTTTAGGTGCCATTGCTGCTTGGTCCTACATGAATTCAGTAACTAAGCTAATCTTATTTTTACCAGCTTACAAATGCTGTAAAAGGACCTGTGAGCTTGTCTAAATCTGTGCAAGTATGGGAAAAAAACAAAGCTATCCCTTGAACCTTTTAGACTACACGCCTGGTTAACTAGCTGCAAATAAACAAGCGGAGGAGGCAGCTAACATGCATCAGACTATTATGATTTTGTTATGAAGCTTAAATATAGACATGCATCAATTTATCAGTTTGATTTTTCTGGATAATTTCCCCACAGAGCCCAGTAAGAAAAGACATTAAGTCAGCAGTGCATCTCCACACCACACCGGAGTAATTTAGTGAGCATTGCAGTCCATAAGAAAACATTCACAGCAACGCTAGTGAGTACTGGCAGGCCTGTAACTGACACAATAAAGATGTTACTTTTCTGCATGGCAGAGTTTCACAACTCTGATGACATACAACAAACTATTCATTGAGCAATTGTTATTTCAATTATTGCCTGATCTGTTTATCCAAAACAATCCTTTCATCACACTTCAAATAGTGTCTATAAAAAGTGCCGTCATGTTTTCACCTGTTTACCTGCTATAGATAGAAATAGTTTCAAAGCCGAGGTGTCTGCACTTTGCCTGATTTTTATGGGATCGGTTGACACCCAAAATACAGAGATTATACATCTGTAACATCAAACGTGCACTGACACATTCATATTTTAGGAGTTCAGTGTCAGTTTTGAGGTAGTTGCCAAATGTTTCCACTCCTTACTTATGTGCCTCTGCTTTTCACTCGTGCAGGAAAGGGCAGCAGCTGGAGCCATCGGACCAGTACATTTTGAACCGGCTTGATGGCGGGCGGAGCATGTTAACCATCCGCAACATCCGGCAGGGTGATGGAGGCACCTACTCCTGCAGAGCCACCAATAAGGCAGGATCCCAGGAAAGAGAGCTCTTCCTCAAAGTGTTTGGTAAGCATGCAATCTGAGTAAAATACTATAGTTGTATAAGATACAGTTTATTTATCCTTTTCAGATATTAATCACAACTATTAAAAATAGTGCAAATAATGTCAAAAAGATTAGTAAAAGAAAATATACAATAATATAACAAGATAAAATAGATCCATAGGGTAAGAGGCACTGCAGATCAAAATCAAAATATAATAAGACATGTTCAAGAAATATGAAGGTTTTAGAACAATATATAAAATATTAATAAGGTTTAATTTAATTTTCTAATTTTCTACAGACACTGGCCACTTTATTATATACACCTCTTCAACAGTGCTCATAATTACGGGTACCACTCCTGTCAGTTAAAAAACAGAAACTAAGGCTACAGACACCTCACCAAAACTGGACAACAGAAGACTATAAAAATTGTCTTAATTTCTTCTCCTGGTAGAGTCAGTCTTTGGTCAACTCACATGAAAGTGTGGTTCTGTCCTGCCTCATATCAATAGTTCAGTCTGTTGGTGTGTAATGGTTTGGGGGACTTTTTCTTGGTACACCAACTGTACTTTCAAATAGCCTCCACAGCAGAGATGGGTAATCCGATTACTTTTTTGAAGTAACGAGTAAAGTAAGGGATTACTATTGTAAAAACGGTAATTAGATTAGTAGGAACGCTGCGTTACTGCGTTACTAAAACCGTGATTTTCTTGCGAGAATGTCTCATGACAGTGACGTAAGCGAGTGTGATGTTCGTGACAACAGCTGTGTGCAGATCAACAATGGATCATATATCGAGTGCAGAGAGAGTATGAGCGTGCAGCGTTTAAAGCGTG